GGAAAAAGAAAACAAACAAAGTTCCAAGAAACCAAATGCCACCAAAGACACCACCAGAGACCAGCTTGACATCGTCCATATGTTTCAGCTCCTTTGGCTGGAACATGGCGCATGTAGCGTTGGTGCTCTTGGAGACGCACACCTCCTAGGCTCTGCGGGCTGTTGGCAGAGTCCACTGGCTTGGAAGCAGTCGTGATATTCGCGCGCGTAGTGACTCTTGAGCGGGAGGCTGGGCTGAAGAGTCAACTTGATACAACTTGGTCAGCTTTTCAGACTCAGCATGACCCAGCAAAAGCAATGTCTGCATAAGTCTGCCCCAAAAGTTTGGACATTGAAACTCCTGCTCCCACATACCATCCATATGCCACTGGCTATATGTATCCCAGACCACAAGGGTAGAAACATGCTGGAGGTTGAGATCATTCTATTAGCTCCATCAAAAAAAAGTAGATTCTTGATTAATACCCCCCGGAAATGGATTGTAAAGCCATGTAAAACACCCATTGTATGTGGCCGATTTAAGTATAATTCAGAGCCTCGAGCCTAGAGCATACAATATAAATCAGACTCTTTCAGCGAAGCATTGTTGGTAGTTCTCAAGGTGCCTTGAGAAGGTATCCAATTCTAAGGGCATGACTCATGACCGTCCTTGTTCTTCTTTATGGACTCCATTAGACCTTGGAATCTTACCAAATTGGAGAGTTCTTCAAAGAGTTTCTAGTATTTTGCTAGCAGGACGTATATACCATACCTGCTTAGAGGACTCCGTAAACGGAACATCCCCTGCAAATCCGATCCCTCAAGAGCAAGGTCTGAGCAAAGTCTGCAAGGTTTGTTCAGTTCTGACATATGCGATCAGTGGGACGACAGAGCATTACAATCTTACTCGAAACATTGGCCTTTGTCACCCATGTCGCCCCGTGATGCCTGAGCTTAGCCCTGAATCATCGTCAGCACTGGATGGCACCCTGTCAGCAAAGCTAGACCTTGTAGATCCTCAGGGACTAAAGTTACTTTAAAAGTACTAATATATGGAGATGGGTCGTTCAACCATGTTCACCCGACCTGTCCACCATGTTCGCGAGCCAAAAGACCCACACCAGTGCCCAGTCTAACCGCCTGGCCCGAAAAGCCGCCCGGTTAGGACAACCGGGATCCTTCCCTCCCAGTTGCTTGAGGACTCCCAACTTGCTGTCCAGGAACTTGGAACAAAAGTAAAACATACTCCCTTGAAGGGGATAAAACCAGACGGAAAATACATAGTCCCTTTAAGCCAAACCCGGAAAATCACCCCGTTGAGACACGATCATTCAGTCCAGGTGACCCTGGGCATCCGCAAGGAGGCCAAATATTCAGGGCCCTCCTGGCGGCGAACTTGAAGCTCGTTTATCTCTTCTGTTTTGTTTTTCTTCTGGACCCAAAAAAGAAGTGGAGGAATGGAGATCGAACATGATGAGGAATGAACGAATAAACACATAAGAACACAGACATGCATTTTGGGGTCGAAAGGGATGAGATCCACGCATGCTCCACCTTTTTTTGGACATGTGCACGGCACCTTCACTTCCGAGGACAGCCGTTTTCTTCGCCCAAATGTGTGTATCACCAAGGGACTAAGGGGGGGGGGGGCAATTGGATTCCAGCGAGTCAGAACCTTGTTTTGGTTCAAACAAACAGTTTGATGTTGGAACCACTTGAGCCTCAAACCATCTTCACCCAGCTAGAAAACATTGAAAAACATCTCCATGCTGTAGCCGAAAGCATCAAGAAGAACCGTTTTGAGGATCCCAACCGTGCACCAAGACTTCGACGACCAAGGCACCCAGTTCGTCATGTATCGAATGCCTCGGAGATGAGCGGTCGAAGAGTACGGCGTCGTCGAAGGGCGGCTTCTCTCATGGGTTGGTCCGGGTGGTTCGCATGGGATTTGTGGCAAGAAAGCCGGCAAACTATGATCTATTTGAGTGTAGTTTAACAGGCTACATGAGGCTACCAGGGCTGTGGCCTGCAAGCAAGCTGGAGTAGGTGGGAGATCTTGGATGTTCACTGGCAAGTTGGAGGGTTTTGTGAGGTGAGGTATACTTTTGCACATCTTGGTTGCGAAGAAGGGAAGCTTCACCAACTCAGGAGCTGGGCTCATTTTACTGGGAATTTGGACACCATTTGGACACCATGGAAAACTTCCCACCGAACTGAGCCGCCTACCTGACTGAGATAGCATTTTTTGTTTGCCGATGGATTCGAGGACCACTCCCTGGTTCCACACCACCAACCAACATGTCTTGCAAGCCAAAAAACATACTAATACTCCCCCCCCCCAAAAAAATGCAGCACCTGCCATGCCCCTGAACTGTCTAAGAACGCAGATCGGATCCAATACCAATTGATCCACCAATGGAACTCTCTCGGTCCCTTCTCCCTTCCCCGACCGAGACGACCCGGACCGACCCGTTTGAGCGGACCGTGGCGTCCCAGCGACAGTAGACGCCGAAGTGAAGCCGATCCTCTCGGTCGAAGCCGCGGCGGTCGGCTGGAAAGCCCGGGCGATGGTATTCCACGTACCTGACGGGTCGTGGAAAACAGAGTCGATGCCAAAAGGGTCCGGTTCACCTGCTGTTGCGGTCCAAACCAATGTTTGGTAAAGCCAAAGCCAAGCCCACTAAATCAACTTTGGTTTGAATCTGGTTGCTAAGGATGTAAACATGCAAAGCTAGGACCTGCGTGTGATTGAATCGAACTGACCAAAAGAAGGATATGTCATGTCTGTACATCGAAACATCTCATGGAGATAGACTCAAATAGACCTATACACTCAAATGTTAAACCCTTAGCTTTCTTCAGCTCCTCTCTCTAGTTTTTACAGTTCACCAAAAAGCCGCTCTTGTGACAACATCCAGGCTGACCCAACCCCGACTCTGCAGCTCCGCGCACAGGAAGGTTTCGCTGGTCACGAGGCGTGCGCTGCCGACGATGAGAAGATAGGGCCTGCGTGGCTGTGAGAGAATATGTGAGTAGCAGGTGTGCTGTATGATGCCGCATATATGGTTCAGTTGTTCTGGGAGACAACAGAGCGACATGAACCTGTCACGAGGCGAATTGATTGTGAACTCAAGGTGAGTTGTTTGATCAAATGTGTCTGAGTGTGGGAACACAATTCTTTTTTAATCTGGATGCTGTTGGCCCCATTGGGAACAGTGCACGCAGGACCTTCAAAGTGACCTCTTTGGAGTCTCTCAGTGACCCTTTACGGGCCTAAATGACTTCATCCTGGGATTTCAAGGGCAGTCCCTTTGAAGGTCCTAGTACTGATGCGAACCAAGTGATCGTTTTTTCCAAGTGATCGTTTGGAACCGTCAACTGCGGTTCTCAAGAGCGAAGAAGCCACGCAAATGGAATGTTAAGTTAAGAACAATGCATCACAAAGGAAGATACAGTACCTCATTGCAAATAATGACTATAGGATGTTATAGGCACAAAAGGAAACAAGACTGTAATATAGAACCCCGGTGCTTTAAGCCAAGAGGCATCAGCAAGGCAATCAAAAGCCTTGAGATCATGGCTTTGGCCCCAATCATGGCACGTCATCCGCCGTGGCCAATTCGGCGCGTGGACCCGCGTTGTGTGGCTTTTTTACACCGAAAAGTCTCTTCGACCGAGGTGGTCCAGATCGGTAGCTCTGCTGATGTTTTGGGGAAAAGAGGACGCCTACTGATTTTCATGAGAACATATGTGAACAAAGCCCCAAGATCCTGAAGCTCCTGAATATTGTGAAGCAAAGTCTTCGGAGGGATCTTGTAGAACTGAGATGTTGAAGTTTTGAAGGAGTCAAGAATAGATCAGGTGTTCTGCTCCCACAACTCCTCGATCAAAGCAAGTACCTGAATCTTCTGATCTTCATTGGCATCTCCTTAATCAGGTGAACCTCTTTTCCCATCCAACTCCAGTTGGAATTCCCTCACCAACCGGGCACGAGTTTCTCCCCCTGGTCTTTGGTGTCGGTCTGTCGGTCCAAATCGCTCGCTACATGGTGGACAGATCGGGCGAAGCTGGTGGGTCACCATCCCCAACATCTCTCTCTCAACAACTCTGGGACAAGAGTCATCTCTGGCAGGGATGACCAACGCTATTTGTCCGAAAAAACCCATGGTTGGAGTGCTGGGATTGACTTGAGTCCCTTCCGGTCGAAATCAAACCGAGTGCGGATGTTCCCGTTCCGAAGGAAACCCAAGACGTGGAGACGTGGAGACGTGAAACGAAACACCTTGAAGACGACATCCCTTCTCTTCCCGTAAAGGTCTGGGAGAGGTCTGGGACTTCCCATCTCGGACCTCTAGCTGGTGATCTCGGCTGGACCTCCTCTATTGCAGAATCGGGAGTGAAAGCTACAAGACCTTGCGAGGTCTCCGGCAATACCAAGCTGAAAGCTGCATGGACATCCACCCTACAATGGTTGGAAACAAACTCTCAACACCGGCGGCCACGCCATCTCTCTTCACAACCCTAGGTTTTTGGTCTGAACCAATCAGCCAATAAGAGCTGTATTGAGACAAACAACTATGCATCATCACTTGAATAATCCTCATGCTTACCTTGCCGTTCCCCATGTCACAACCTCCAAGACGTCAGGCGGCAAGATTCCTCGAAATTCATCTCCAAATCAAGGGTCGATCTCCAATAACTCTTCATGTCATGTCACGTAGTTGAAGTACTCCCTCAGAGGACATCAACTTGCGCTGAAGGAAACATAACCACTGTAATTGATAAGACTCAAGTCTTCGCGACACTTTCCATGCCCACCAAACCCAGATCCATCACACCCAAATCTCAAACATGAGAACATCTCATGTGCCACTCTAACCACTCTAAAACAGACATGAAATGGCCACAACTTGACCTTGAACATCTGAAAAAAAACAATCCAAATATATCCTTTCTCCCCCAGAACCCGTCTCCCCGAAGTCGACACCCACACCGTCCTCCGTCTGCGTCCGGCCGCGCACCTCGCAGCTTCGGCCGCTTCTCGAACTCGCGGAGGCCCCGGGCCTGGCGAGGTGAACTTGACCGGTGCAGCGGGCGGACCGGAGGACGTGAGCGGCTGAGACTGCGATTCGACCTGCATGTAGACCCTGAAAAAGTCTAAGAATTATAGCTTAGATCATCTTAGATCGACGTATGGCTACATTGTGCACAAACGAAATGGAACACTTGTGAACACTTCAACCCCCCTTCAGACACGAATGCATCAGAAGTCGCTGCACCATCTAGTTGGGGGCAGCCTCTTTTTCAAGTCTGACCCACACAACCCAACCGAACGGCACCACACAGACTAAACTGTCGAACTCCCACCAAATATAAAGCCAATAGTTTCAAACAACCGCAAGAAGTACACATGTAATTAAACTCTTATCCTGCAAAATTGAAGATACACAAGCAAAATTATACATCAAAGCAGGCCTCTCAGACCATGACAAAGCCTTGCCAAAAACCTAAACATGCTCTGATACTTACTGAAAAAAAACAACAACTGTAACCATCTTCTTCCCAGTCGACCGGTTACGTGGCAAGCTTGCCCTGCGCTTGAGCTTTCAATGCCTGCTCGCCCTTTGCTGCTTTGCTCACACTTCTGCACCGTGGAAGTGTCCGCTGTCGACTGTCCAGCTCCAAAGCCTCTCGGTGAGAAGTCAACTGGCATGAAGTAGGGCTCCAGCTTCAAAGAGTAGAGCTGCATCGAAGCAAAGGGTAAACATATTGAAAGATCGACGGATGAAATCAAGAATCCTTGGGCTGTCCGCTTTGACCTGGGCTCCGCACAGTCGGACTTCGTCGTCGCGGCTTGCCGCGATGGCTCGTTGGGACCAGACCTCTTGAACCGCCAGCCGCAGTGAACGACTGGGCCACCGCTTTTTTGGCATGCGGAAGTGGCATGCTTTAGCAGCGTTGTGATATGTGTGAAAAGGGAAATAGATGGAAACAGCCACTATAAGGCAGGGCATGACTCCAAGGCTGGAGATTGAGTTCCTGAACCGCTCGTGCTCCAGCGAGAGCGTCTGGTTGCACTCGAACTGCTGCGGAGATTGCGTGCCTTGCTACGTATACTATATGAATTAATGAAGACCAAGTCGGTCGGCATTACAAAGCGAATGTGATATGCACCATGCAAACTTCAGACCCAACGGTGAAAGCAAGAATTGCAAAATCCTGGAGGTCCGAAATCTAAGCCACAGAACAGAGCTGAACTTCTTCACCAGCACTCGCTACACCCGCTGCATAATGCGTTGGTGTCAGCCATGGGCCTCTTAGTGGCGAACTGCAAACTGAATGCATTCCCCTGTTTCTTGGGATGCTCACGTCTTGTCCATGATTCAGGTCCCATGTGCCCCACATGAGGTTCAAAGCAATGGTCAAATTGATCGTCCAAGACAGAGGCATGGTGATGAATCAACTAGGTAGACATGGCTCATGTTGCTTAAACAATATTCTATTATATACACGTAAATATGCAATAGTATGTAATTAATATTGTGTCAAGCAATATCACAAACATTCACAAACCATACTGGAACAAACAGAAAGGCGCAATGTACGGAGGCAGCTTCAACAGGACCATCAACAACACATCTCCTTCGACAGAACTTCCCCCGTGTTCATCTCTACATCTTCGTCTCCAAACACATCTAAAGAAGAAACTAAAGAAAACAAAATGCAACTAAACATCTAAAGCCGTCCAAGAAACTTCCCTCAACCTATCTCAGGCCCTGCGTCTCCACCGGACTGGTCGACCTCGTCCAACTCCACGGCCACCAGGTCCGGCTTCAGGCGCTGCACCGCGCGCGCCATGGCCACGGGCACCGGGTTCTCAGCGCTGTCCTCGGTGCCGAGACGACCGTGTGACCGTGTGGTGCCGAAAGGCGGGAGGCCACGTGGCACCGGGTTCTCATCGTGAAAGTGACCCAAGGGAAAAAGACCACAATATATTATTAATAATTAGTCGCTCCAGTGAATAGTCGTCAACAAGGGAACGCTACTAAAACTTTAAGATGAGGATCATGATTCATGATCTATATATGTTATATATCATCATTGTTCTTGCAATGCTGCGACTAGACTCGATCCACCGAAAGCTATATTATATGTCTCCGAAGTCCAAAACATGTCCGGAATCATATGCCTACGAGGGCCCTATAGGGCCTAGGGTCCAGTGAGCCTGCTGTGGTGCCTTTTTCTTCGATCTTCCTTCAAAGGTTCGGGTGAAGGAATCCCACACCGAGATCAAAACCACCAACGTTCTGGCCAATATGACGTTGGGTACACCTCACTGAAATCATCATGAACATGTGGAGTAATCACCACCCGGGACATGGTCAAACCGGAGTTAAAATGCTCATCCGATTTCTCGGGGCCGTCTTCCATCCATTCACTTCCACCATTCTTCGGTGCAGGACTTCTGTCCGCGGGATGCATCGAACATCTATCCGAACGTCCACAGACGCCACGCACCCGACGATGAACGGGTGGTGACGGTGACAGCCACCATTGAAGTCGAACAAGTCTGCCACTTCGGAGAGCGAGGACACTGGCAGAGGTGACCTGCCTATAAGTGACCAGCCAGTGGGATCTTAGGTGACCGGTGACTGAAAAAAGGTCTCTTCAACCGGCGACCGCTGTTCGCTGTGTCCGCTGCTCTCACCGTCCGAGCTGCAACGCCCGGCACGTTGTGTGGAGTCCCCAGAAGGATCACCTGAGATCGGCGAGGCTGAAACTCTTGGGCGGAGCAGGGCGGGGCAGGGCGTGTGTTTCAGCCTGCAGGTGAAGGCTCTGGCGGTGTTTCTCTCTAGGCAAGCGGGGTCAATCTGAATTGTGGCCAACATCGAGTGGTATATATTTTCTAAACTGCTTTCGTTGATCGGAAAAGATGCTTGTGGGTCGAACGCCAGGTGATTATTTATTGAGTGCGTCGGCACAGGGGGCCGCTAAATCTGTGGTCCCAGTTGACCCGGTTGACCCAGTTGACCCAAGTTGACCCCAGTTGACCCAGTTGACCCAGTGGTGGTGGTAATAGTAGTCGTCGTCGTCGTCGTGGTGGTGGTGGCGGTGGGCCCAGTTGACCCGGTGGCTACGCGAAATCTCCGGACCCAACTGGGTCAACCGGGTCGGGGTCCGGAGATTTAGCGTGGCCCCCTGTGCGGTCGCGTGCCCTGCGCGGTCGCAATGTATTTATTGCTGGGTAGTACCCCAACCTTCCTGGTTTTAGGATCTGTTAGGGAGATATGTTCTGCACAAAAAAAAAAAAGACAAAAACAAAACATCATCATTGTGCTTCCACCACGGTCTCGCAGGTCCTTTATCGCAGGTCCTTCGTTCAACCTTCCGGAGCCCCGCTCCTCCACTTCGGGTCGATTCCAATGAAAACAACAGGGGATTCACAAGTTTATATAGGTTTCATTGCACTTTCTATATGTCTTAGCCCATGAGAGACTAGCCAGTAGCATCCTTCACAATGAACCTCTCTACCAACGGGTGGTGTTATTTTCCATGTTTTTTCCACTTGCCATCATTCTTTCCAACGGCCCTAAGGGGCTGAGGGCCGGGCCCTAGGGGTTCACCTGGACCCTCTGTAGCTGGGGGGATGCTGGGGGTACTTACAAGCCACAAAACAACACCCTTTCGACCTCTTCGCCACGCCGGCGTGCGGTTTCGCCCGTGTGACGCGGAGCCGGGCGCGGGCCGAAACGGGCGCAGGCCGCAACGGCGTGGGGCGCCTCTCGTCCGCTGGACGGATGCCGCAAGGCCGCGACGGCCAAAGGCCCTAAGGAGTGCCTGGCCAAGCACTGATTGAATTGAAGCTTTTCTTAAAAGGGGCATGTGTTCACATGCGCATCATTGATGGATCCTCAGACCCTCTGAGAAGGTGATTGGAGAGTACTCGTATGTGCAATATTAAATCTAATTAGCACCATTGGATTCGAACCACGATTGTATTTATATAGCAGCTTTATCAACGACCACGGATTACTACAACATGGCGGCGTTGTTGTTTTCTTGGGGCTGGCACAAGGGGTCTAAGACCTTGAGACTTGCTGATTTGCACACCTCAAACCTCAATACCTCCAAGGTAAGAAGGAGAGATGTCGGTAGGCGTGTCCATTCTCCACTCACTGAATGGGACTGAAATCCACACACTGCCAAAAAGACTTGGTTGTATCTGGTGGAGATTCGTTCAAGTTGGTCACGATCGATTCCAATAATTTGCTTCTGTCTTCTGGGTCCCAAATGAACAAGAAAGAAAAGGGACATCCAGAATCATCTTTGCAGTCAGCGAATTCTTTCTACAGTTTTCATCGCATCATCAAGGGATATCAAAGGCAAACTAACGAATTGAAACTAAATCCAAAGGACGCTCGCAAAGGTACCCACCAGGGGTGTTCTTTGTACATCTCGACATTCAGCTTGTGAGGGCGAGTGTGCTTAGTTGAACCGATGGTGTCTCTCCAACAATCATGGAACTGGACGTCCTGGCCCCTGCGGTTGTCCACTTCCATGTTTGTTGGTAGAACCCTAGGCCTAGGTCTCCAGTTATACCTCTTCAGAAGGTATGACTGGACCCTCTAAACCGGGAATGTAGAAGCAATCCTTCTCCATCTTTATGCCCTTTCAACAAAAATGCACATGACACATGACAGCACCTCGCTTCCTCCGCGACTGTGGCCAACTGGCCAACCGGCCAACGGGCGCACCTCTGGCCCCGTTGAGCCTTCTGCCAGGTGAGCATCTCTTGAAAGAGCTCCAGACCTGCGATCGCGGCGAGAGAAACCGCCACGGGCGCGGTAAACCATCTTCAACAGTAACGTTGACCAAACGATGTGGTGAACTCTCGAAGACCTTTTAATCGAAAGCCTCTCAAAGGGTGACAAAAAAGCAACCAGCGCGCCCCCAACGGAGTACGAAAGGCTCGTGAAGGCGGGTTTCCGATAAACCGTTGGCGTCAATGGCCGCGCCGCCGTCGGGTTTCCGATGGGCTTTATCACAGCCGGCTGATCTCGAGGCCCTAAGCCTTCAGACCTAGAAACTTGCACCCAATTTTGTGGGTCACACGCACAGATACGCACAGGCCATTTGGGGAGCCTTTTTAGGCCGTCCCAGAAAAAGGAGTTGGGGTGCTTCCCCAAATGTGCTTTTGTGGGCATCATCAAACATCAAAACAAGGCAAGTTTGGGTGCAGCGTCATATTTTGGTCCCATGATGTCCCATGCCAAGAGTGTTGAGGCATCGGTACTGAGTCATGTTGGGGTACCAACATGTAAAACCCACTCTGTTCTCACTGAGTACCCTCCCACCAAGCGTCTGTTGGACGTGCACTGGTCTTCCAAACCCAACGTTTGGGATCCACAGGTCTTCCAACCAAACATCGCGTTTATATATCTGTTACCTGTGGTGGGACTCGAACATCTCCAACAGGAACGTTTCGGAAGGTTCGAACGTATGACCACCCCCAACTACACAACGGTCGTCAGCGTGGGGACTGGACCCTACAAGCTTGGTGGAAGTGATTCTGGACACGGAAGGCGGCATGGTGGTTGCAGGACTAAACTTTCCCGAACCATCCAAACATGGAGTCAACATGAGTCAACCCGCAAAATTACCTCACAAAGAAATGATTACAGTACTGATGCGAGCTCAAACCAACACTACCCTATAGTGCTCCAACCATATGAAGATGGTTAGGTTCCCCCCTGGCACCCACCCCAAGCACCTTCTCAAAATAACTCACTTATGCCAATTAGATCTAATTATATAGGGTTTAGTTCTCCTGGAGAGCAATCCTAAGGTCTTGTGGGGAGGATTCCTGGACACTTCTTCAACACGGACCACCGCCCTCCGGGCCCCTCGGCGGGCCCCCGTCCGCCTCGTTCGTTGCGTTGGAGAAAGCTCCGTCCGGCCTCCAGGACCACTGAGAGCCTTGGGGACGGAGCGATCTGACGCGGTCGAGAGATGTAAAACACATGGAAAACACATGGAAAACACCAAGAGGCTCATCTAGCTTGAACCGGGTGTCTTCCATGCAAGTGGGTGATTGATGTAGAATTTGTACCTTGTTCCATGTTCCATGGATTCTGGCGTTTGATGTTTCAATCCAAACCGAAATCATCGCAGTCCACGGGTCCCCCACATCATCGTCTTTCTCCTCTCGTCCGCGCCGTCGGTCCATTTGTCTTGGACGTCCGTTTGTTCTTTGGAAACCTATCGCCGCTGTCACACCATCGCTGTCCTCCGTCCTCCGTCCTGCTTTGAAAACGCTGCGGAGAATGGGAAGCCACGACGCGGCGCCGCTTGAAGTGCGCCGAAAACTGTACAAGTGCGACGTGCCCGGCCACGCGAGCTGAATTGATCAAAGGATCCGTCGGCGAAGAAGACGGAAGAACCATTTCTGGGCTTCCCAGGCAATATCAGTGAACAAAAACAAGAACAAGACACACAACCAATCAACCAACCAAGTAATTTCCCTTGCACTAGGTGATTAGCCATGCCCATACATGCCCATATATGAGATGTGTCTGCAGCCAAACAAAACCAGCCCACAAACTGGATGCCCCGTCCGGTTTTGGAAACTCATGTCCACACCGGTTCAGGAACAGCGACAACGTCCGCATTCACAGCCTCTTCGGACTTGGAATTCAACCGGTCCACCGTCGCACCTACGTTACATGATATCCTGAGAAGGTGGTTGTTTGGTGGGTTTAATCACCTTTAATCACCTGAGAATATGGAGCCGTGAGCCGGGATGATATCCTGGTTACATGATGTTGCATGGGTTCGAAGGGCACCACAAACGATCCTCAGTTTCCATCTGCTTGAGACGCCTTGCACCAACACTTCATGACATTTTGTGACTCGATGTCCGTCCAAATTGAGCTGAACTCCTGAAGAACAGGGACCCGTCCTGCCCTCGCACCACCGGAAACGGGCATAACCTTCTTCAACCTGCATCTCAGAATGAGGCGCCTACGTGACAGAGTGATGAAATGGAATGACAGAGATGCTAGTTGACAAACACATGTACAAAGTTGTACAAATGTCCGGGCAAAAAACATAATCATTGCAATCTGCCTAAGACTCTGCCTAATTTATTCTGCTGATTCCCCTGATTTCTGAGTCTTCTCCAACTGTCGCTCCACCAAGCCGGACCGCTTCGAAAGCTTCATAGGGTAGGCAGTGCCGGGGACAACGGCTGATTCGTGCCGCCGCCACGCGAGCTGCCTCTTGAAACTGATAGGACAGAGAAGCGAAAACTCGGGTTGACCAAAAGAACTTCCCGAGATCAAAGAACTCGGGAGGATGGCTGTTTTTTAGATGGTTGGTCTTGAAAAAGCACGTGGTGAGTTCATCTAGGTTGCTCTTTCGTCTGGCCCTTCATGAGGCCCGGAAAAAGGTTCGGAATCGAGTAATGTTCACTGGACAGGAGGCCCTGATGCATCAAGAACTACCCCATTCTTGATGGTTCTGGGCACCTTCATTTTGCATACCTTGCCACCGCCCTATTTGGGAACAACATAGTGGTCCGTTCGAATCATATGGCTGCCAATGTGTCGCCACCTGCAAAGTACTCGATCAAGGGTCACTCATCTATCCCAAGTACGGCATCCCGTTCCAGGAGCAGTGTCTCGAAAAACTGAGGGAGGGGGGCTGCTGGATGTTGAGACCAACGTATCAAAACTTGGAAGAATGTCCAATTTATAACAACACAGCACTGTCGACTGGTTTTTCATGTCAGAAAAAAAACAAAAAAGACGCATGTCTTTTCACAGGCTGTGAGTCATACAGAATGACCTACAGACCTACAAACCTCGGACCTTCCGCATTCCCAAACAGTGAAAAGGAGAGACACTCCGTCGACGGACTCTGTGCTCCGATCACATCGGGATCCAACGTAGCCAGCCGTCCAATCGGCATCCATCTTCCCATTGCTGGCAGTGTAGTAGGCTGTATTTTGGGGCACCCATCATATGATATATGTTTGCCCAAAGGATGTTCTTCCACCAGTAGGCGGTTCTTCACCATGTTCACTCACAACCCGAGGTTTCTCCAGCTCAATTTCGCCCATCCCATGGAATGAAAGACAACTGAGACTGTGTGTTGGAACTGTCAAAGCAGCTTTTCACGGCGATTGAACACCTGCATGTTGTCTTAAATGCATGTCAAGAAAGGTAGGCCAAGCACAAAAACCGGAGTCAACATAAAACAGATTCGCATGTTTGGAGAAGTGAAACTCTTTCAGAGACCCTGTTTCTGCTAGTTTCAAGGGTCCCAGAAAATGCATACGGCAGTTCCCTATGGATACGTTGATCCTCTCTGAAGAGTGCACCTCTTCTTTTCAAAGCCATCTTGGAGAAAAAGGTTTTGCATGGTGCCATCCATGGTCTCTGGTTCTGCAGCAAAGACGACAAGTTCCATCCGGAATCCTGACATACAGAAACTGGCCGAAATGAGCTACTTATAAAAAGGAGACAAATGCCCAGAGATGGACATGATTGATATATATATATTGATATATAGGTACACACTCCAGGTATCTCCAAGTCAACAATATGGAAGTGGATTTCCATGTCATCATGCATGATTTCAGGAAGTGTATGTCCGTTTCTCACCCTGGTCCCATGGTGTCTGGGTCCCGCTATCGCACGTGACTGAGAAATCCCACGACGGCCGCAGAAGCACCTAGCCTACAAGGCCGCCACGCGGCCAGCCTTCAACTCTATAGGATTGTGAGATCTGGTGTCCTGCCACCTACTTTCCAAAAGGATAGGGCGGTCAAACCGAGCGCACTCGAGCCGCTGGCGGCCGCGTTCTGCCGCGTTCGGCAGCTCTCAGAATCTGGTGGCCGGGCTCGGGCTCCGTGCGGTTTCGCGCGACACCCAGGCGCGCGACCAGCTGGTGAACAGCGAAACGAAGAAACGAAGGCGCGGGACAGATACTTGGACGACAACAACAACAAAAGGACTCCTGTCGGCAAAGGAGACCATCTTGGGAAGGGTAGAATGACTTAATGTACTTGGGCCCGACTTCAAGCACCTTAGAACATGGGACATGGGTTGGGACATGGCTAAGTTGTACCGGAATATCCATCTTCTGAGGTACGAACAGGGTCGACTCCAAGTAGGGTGCGCCATCTAACATCATCCAACTGATTTGCCTCGGGACCATCCGCCTGACTGGTCACACGTGCCGCTCGTGCCAGGCCCCGCCTGGCGTTGGTGCCTACACTGGCACCGCTGACTCCTGGAGGGTTGCAGCTGTGAAGAGGTTTACCAGACGCAAGAAGGTGTGAAGCTCAGTGCAAGGGCCAAACAGAAAGTCACTATAATGTAGACTCTTTGATGCAGAGTCTAAGCACCCAATGAAAAAATAGACCATCCTCTTCTACCTCTGGGGGGTTTATGGTCCTCAAGAGACATTGGCGTTGAACCGATACCCCGCCCAAGGCGGGTCGAATCGATCGACTTTTCCAGCGGGGGGTTTGGCGTCACACCGACACCAACTCGGGACTCCGGACTCGAATCGTTCAGCCCTTCCAGCCCTTTGAAAGCCTGGCTTCTTATATATATACAAAAACATATGTATGTGTGTGTGCATATATTGATATATATGTTGTTTGTGGATTTGAATGGATGTGAATTCAATGCAAGGCTGCAACCCCTGGCCCTACTCCATGTACCTTTGCTACTTCCTTACGCTTGGAAATCGATACCCGGTGACAGCTGACAAACCTCCCTGATCAGCAGAAAGTAGCTGTCGGAGATTGTTCAAACATGTGGCCGCATCACAAAGAGTTAACAAAAACATATCCAACATGTGGAACACTGAGCATTTCCGGTGCCCCCCGGGGCCCCCCTTTTGGAGCGTCTGCTTTTTTGGGGTGAGCAGAATAAGCAGGGACCATTCGATGTGTCCTGCTTGGCATCTCTGGCGTTGCTGCGGCCCAAATCCCGCTGCTTCTTCTGCGCCTGTTCGAAGAGAACGAGAAGACATAGTAATAAGAATAAGAAGAAGACCTCGCAAAGCAAAGCAAAAGGATCGAACATATATATACACATGCATATGAGTTAGCGTCAAAAATACATGCTTGGAGTGTTTTCGTTTCACTTTTGTAAGTCCCCTATCGTTTTCCATGGTTTTGGATTTTGCAAGTATGTATACATAGGGGTATCGTTTTTTGTCAGTCCCCTATCGTTTTTCAAGGAAAATCACGAAAGCAACGCAGAGATGAAACGTCCCTTACTAAAGTGGTTGATGATAATTTTGAGGTTGCCTCATATGATGTTAAATGATGTGGAATGATATGAAATGCAATGGGTACCCCAGTATAGTTTCAAGTTCAGCAGGAACAAGCAAATGAGCTCTTCGCAAAGAATCCACGGATGAGACATATTCAACACATTCGCCAAGACTTCCAGGCGCGGCGATACCTCAAAAAAATCAGTGAGATCATTCCAAAATCCCTAAAATCATGAACATTCACACGTCTTGCTCTCTGGGTGTATTTAAAAGATGTCATAACACGCTGTTTAACATCATTCCAATCCAAACAACCCTCAAACAACCTCATCTTGGATCCAGCTTCCGCACCTTCGATCATACATCTCAACCCACCTCAACACCGGGCCCCGACCTCTTCGGTGCCCTCTTCGGCCCCCCCGGCGGTCCGCCTCCCGCGCACGTTCCTCGGAGTTCCGGGCCGCCAGCCATCGATCCCTCGAGACCACCTGGACGCGCGGTTCACGCCGACGCGCGCACGAGAAGCCGGGTTGGGTGGTAACGCGGACGCGGTGGTGGAGAGAAAGAACCGGGTGGTTTGTGAGCCCTTCCGGCCATGGTGTGTAGGGCTTTAAACAAAAATAACTATATAACACACGTGGGATGGCACGATTGAGGTGTTGCTGGACATCTTTAACAACGACGAC